GGCGGGCGGGCGGGGTGGATACGATCGAACGAAAGCGTAAGCCGCGTAATCCCCCGTGAAATACCGTGTTGGATCGAGACGACCGAGAACTTTGCCGTACGCCCGAGGACACCGGGGACATCGATTATTCGCGGGAAACCGCCCCCGTTAATCGTTTAAACTCCGCTGCAGGTGAATGTATGCAGCGGCGGCGTTCGTGCCCGCGGCGGCTACCCGTGAATCTCGTGATTCACGAAACCACGAGCCCTCTCATCCTCTCTTTCGCTGTGGAGGCCCGGCGAATATCGATATCCGCGAGTATAAGAGCGGTCATCGTCGAAACCCGCGCGTTTTATCGCCGAGCTAATACGGAGGCCGAGGGAAGCGTTTTCCGTCGTGACGGGAAAATCCGCGCGGATGTTATTCCGAACGCGAGTAATCGCGTACACGCGCGAGGAGCGCTTGAATTAACACGTCGACTGATTTCGCGCCGATTTCCGATTGATTATCCCGAAACTGAAGTTCGAATATTCGGAGATACGGTAAATAAATGCAGCTCGTGATGCGTGTATCTCTGTTAACTCGTGTCATCGAGGCTCGCTGTTGCTCGTCGTATATTTCGTATATTCGTTATGCGTAATTAATCGTGTCCCTTGCGTTGATTAACGAGACGCGGCAATATCACAGTGTCGGTCATCGATTATCTCGTGATGGTCGGCGTGGTAATCTTAATTAAAGATTGAAAATGGAGAAATCGCTTTGTCCCATTTTGATCAATTGGGACAAAGTGAGCCAAGATCGAAATTAATTAATTTGTCAAGTTCTAATCACTAATCCGCAATTCCTAATTTCTAATAGCTAGACTGACAAGGCTTAATTCGATTGATTTTCTTATCACGTTGCAAAATAGTGCTACCGTTTAAATAATATTTATTTAATCCAAATAAAAGTTACTCTGATACTCCTTGGCAATTATTTACTAGAAGTAGAAATATAATTGATTATATACATAGTGTGATATTTCCTTTGTATGAGACATTTACTTGTTAAAACAATTGCGACAAATATTAAATTTATATTATTGAAAATATATCAGAATTTATTAAAAAAAAAAAAAATATCTATTGCATGGAAAAATCGAAACTTAATACCATTAAGTTTCTTTAATGGAAAAGAAGTATTGCACAATTCTAATAAATACTTTCTTAAATTTCACACTCACATTCCGTACTTCATTTGCAAGTTAAGATATTACGGCTATGTAGGAATTTATTACACGAACTATCGAGATCTACATAAATTAATCAAAATACTCCTCGATTTGCGAGACTTGAAGAACAGGTAATTACCGTTTACTGTCGTCCCAGCACTTTTTCTCCCGTGTAGACGTAATCTTGATACCTATGCGTTCTTTTCACGTATTTCGTAACACCAAGTACAATAACGTACTGCGGAGTTCCTTTCACGTCGATTTTTCGAGGATCGTCGGGACATTGCGCCGAAACGAAAGCGGGTCAGCGTTCCGCCGAGAACACTGAGCTTCCTCCGCCGCCGCAAATAGTATAAATCTCCGACGTCCGGTCTCCCACGGTCACACGTGTAAGACGCGGCCGTCCGACACGGAGGTTCGCTCGGCTTCGAGCGGCTAGCGAAATTGTTGACTACCGATGCTCATCGGACCGGATCAACGTTCGACGCGGTAATGGCTGTGATGGCGATGCCTTGTCGCGTCGCGGCTCGTCGACGCCACCTGCGACAACAGGAAAAGCGCCGCCGAGGCGCGCTCGGATTTGCCCGGCGATTTTACTCCTAAGCAGGACGCTTCTTCGAATTTCCGTCGTGCGGTCGTTTCTTTCTTCCTCGAAAACGGAGCGATCGGTCATCACCGTTGGTACGATTCTCATTAATCGGATACAGACCGCGCACCTTGGCCTAATTAAGTTGAGAGTTTGGAATTACGCGAGTGCGATATATTCCAATTGTTCTCCCTCTCTCACTCACGCGCACGAGCGCTTATTGCGCGCTTTAATTAACGCTCGCTCGCGCATCATCGTAGACCGAGGCCTGTGGGTTTCCAGAAAAATTAATATTCAAAGCGGGTATCGCGAGGTAGTAATCTGGCGGGTGAATTAAAGACCCGCCGGCCGGGATAGGGATCTCCATGCAGTCACAGCTCGTTTGAGCGAATGCCTCAAGTGATTTCAGTTACACCTCGTTTACGCGATCCACCGGCGGTTTCTCGTTATTTCCTCGAACGAGGAAGCGGCGGTTTTTCAATTGTATCGCCGTGTACCGCGATGGATCCGCGATTGCGGACGGGCTCGATGGCGACGGATAACATTGTGATTGTAAATCCACCGACGCTACACCCAGATCCGCGATGATAAGTCTCGGCTAGTTCACAGCGAGGAGTGCACGTAATCGTAAATGTTTCGCGATCCAAGGCGCAATACTTAAGGTGGTAACATTTCCTGCCTCCCGCCGATCGAACTTAACCCATTTGCATCAGAAGCGAATATATCCGGGCGTTCATTTCGCCCGGTCATCGTCACCGCGGAAGCGGATAATCGCGATTTGTTTTTACCGAGGATGCGTCGAGTCATCAAAGGTCACGTGAATGTTTCTTATCCGTTTTACCACAGCGAAAGAAAGGACTTGGTAATAAGTACGAGAATTTGGTTTACTTCCTAAATATAAAATATAAAATATACGGAACGGAATTATTCGGTTGAGATAATCCAATATCTGGCCGGCAAATATACATGAAATTTTACTGCTTATTACCGAGTCCCTTTTTCACGTACACTTTTCGTGCACACTCGACGTCAGTCTAAAAGAAAGAAGAAGAGGATCAGCGGATTCGGGGATTATTTTTCAAATCTCCAAATGACGCGCGAATGAATTAACATTCGGAGGAATCGACAAAAATATTCGCCATGGGACGTTTTTCAGCGCGACTCGATCGCCGCGGCGCGGCGCAATTTGGGCGCGAGATAATCAGTCGCAGTCGCAGAATTGTCAGTCGTAAAATCGCGCGAAGCTGGAAATATCTCCATTGTGTTGATTCAGGAACGCGGGAGGTATGCGCGCGTCTCTCCCTCTTCTTTATTCGCGTCGTGAATCGTCGGCGGGGTAACGCGCGAGCATCGGTGGTATTCGCGTAAATTTCTTTTCTAATAGATCTTCCGCTCGGACGCCTTCGAGGCTCCCGGGGTCGTGTTTACCCGGCGTGGAGGTGGAATTACGAGCGAAAAGAACGGGATGGCGAGGAGATAGCGAATAAATCACAAACCACGGCTCTTCCACGTTATGCTAATGACACCTCCTGCATCCTGTGCGCATCCCTCGCGCAAGACGCGAAAGTTCAGCCCGGCACGCCGCGCGGCGTCGTTCTTCTTTTTACGGGACTCCGGACAACACACACACCTCCTTGACGCAATTGCAGGAAATAAAACACTCTGCCGCGACGTCCCTCCACATTCAACGAGCGGGTAACCGACTCGCGAAAGCCCCTCCGAGGCGCAGCTGAATCGGCACGGTCGGTAAAGGATTGCTCGTCGTCCGCGTATCGGGTTATCGATATCCGACGAGAGACAATCGTGAATACCCCCGAGAAATCAATACACTAGGATATTTCAGAGGATACGCTATCATGTTTAATATGCGATGGTTAAACAACAGGTGGATCACAAAATCGTTTCTACATTTCAATGAATAATCAGCCAATAATGAAGCTAGTGACAAGCTAGAACATTTCATCCAACCTATATCAGTTAGATATTAGCTTTCGATTCAGATCGATTAGATTCGACTGTATTTCTGTTCGATTGTCTCGACGAGCTTCAGCCCTTTAAGACCCGAGAGACTTTTTTCGGTGCCAATTTTTTATTCGGAAACGTTGTATAAACGTTATCTTCCCTTCGAAGCCATCTTAAAATCTCAGTGGGAAAAGTCCTGAAACGAATTTAATTTTATATATGGGTCTCACAAACCCACCCATCACGGTTGCGATGGTTGCATCGAAATGTTTGTCGCAGCTGAATGGTCACACGGATGTTCTCAGTCGCGGTAACGGGGATATCATTTCCTCGTCACCGAGTTTCCATCTGGTCCCCGTTCAGTTGCACGAGCCGAGTTCCTTTTTTTCCCCCCGTGTACTAGAAGAGGGAGAGAACCGCTCGATTCTGATCGTTTACCCCGCGACATACCCGCGTTCGCGATCGCGTCGCGCGTTTCGTCGCTTCTGTATCCTCCACATCGCTTCGCCGGCGGTTTTCACCGCGATTATCATGCGCGCATTCTCAGCGTATGAACGGGCATGTCCTCCCGTCACGTCGTCGTCGTCATCGTCGTCGCGCGATCATGAATTCATGACTAATGCCGGCAATCGGGCGATGTCTGGCCGATGTGCACGTCAGGCGCGAGCAAAGCAACAGGACTGATCAACAGGCGAAGACACGCGCCATCGAGCACGCGCCGATAGATCTGACATCTCGACGCCCGACGCCATACACGTGACCGGAGGCTCGTTACCCGGCCATCCTCCACCGCCTCTTCCTTCCTCCCTCCACCTTCCCGATGAGAAGCCATCTCTTCCTCCTCTTCTTCTCCCTCCACCCTCGTGGTCCCTCTTCCCGTCGGAAGACACGCGCCCGACGTCTCCCCCGATTTCCCAGAACCGACCTTCGGGAGATCGAATCGCCGCGCCGCCGTGAATCCGGACGACCCACCGCGCGAGCACCCACCAGGAGTTTCGGCGGATCGCTCGATCCGGCGAACCGGCTTTTCTTCCTCTCTCTTTCTCTCCCTTTCTCTCGCGGCGGACTCGCGGGGTGGATGGCGGAGTTAAGGAGCGCCGAGGTAAACTAAAATTCCGTAAAATTTCTAAACACGGGGAAATACGGGTAAACAAATGTAATTCACGATGTCCATGTTCGCTGGCTCGTTCCGTTCGCTCTCTATTGGCTATGTATTTAATCCTGAGAGTAACAACCGCGATCTTGATGTCGAAGTAACGTCGTAGGTCTCTCAGGCCTACCTCGTGAAAAAATGTTTAAATCTTAGGTTTTTTTTTGCATTCTTTGGTCTTTCATGAATCGTTAAAAGTTTATCAGGAATTTTTATTTATTGTCTTGGTAGACTGGGTCTAGGAAATCGGACCAGGCTGATAATATCGGTAGTAACCCAAATTTTTCCCTACATAATAGAGGAATAAAAGTTGAGTATAGCATTATGCATAAAACGTAGAAGAGGGAGTAAGCGAAAGAAAACGCACGTAGACCTCGTGAGTCTGACACGTTACTGTCAAGGTTAATTTGTTAATACACAATTGGGTGTTTCGCGAGTAAAATTACTAAGAGATACGTTTCATCAATAAATTAATGAGACCCGGCAATATTTTAGCGCCGGTCACTATTAACCTCCATGGCAGAAAACGCGTTAGCATTTCTCACCCCTTTAGTTAGCACGGCATCTTCGCTGACACTAACTATCATCCACGCTGCGAAACGATGCTGAATTAGCTCCCCGGGTCCGCCGGTGGTGCCCCTAAACCTTGCCGACGCGTTTCGCAGCGCAAACGCGAAGCAAGCGACGGAACGGCCGATCTCCCATCGATCAATCGCGAAATTTCGCCATCCGATCCAATTAACGCGCGGTCCGCCCGACACTCCCCGCGGATACCGAAGAGAGAGAAACGAAGGTCGGAGGGAGCCGAGAGATGCCGCATCTCGCAATCCCATCTTAATAACGAAATCGCGCCGCTCCCAGCGGGCTCGCCCGGCGGGAAAGGAAAAATTTGGGCCAGGGAAGAGCGAGCGCGCTTTTAAAGGGGGACTCGCATACCATTGCAAAACGGCTGGAGATGGTCCCACGGGAGAGAGAGAAAGCGGATTCGAGAGGAGAACGGGCGGAGGAGAAGAGGAGAAGGAGGAACCCGACGACGACGACGCTGCCGCCGCGACCACGACGGCCACTAAATATTGTGTTCGCGCAGAGAATACAGCTCTCGGGACACGTGTAAGCGGGGCCGCGGGATTCCGTATGAGCAGATCGGCCCGCCGATTATACGCTAATTCAACGCAAATTCCTTCCCGGAGATATCTGTATCGCTCGCATACATCAGAGCCCGCGGTAGCTGCTGTTGCCGCTGCCGTTCCTGCCGGTTCTCTCTCTCTCTCTCTCTCACTCTGTGCCGTTGTTAGTGTTGTTTGTTGCTGCTGCGACGGTCGCTGCTCCTGCTGCCGCCGCCGTTGGGATCCCGACGCGACCGCGGTCTCTCCTCCGTCCGGCTTAATCAGTATCCACGGGGAGACAACTATATAGCCGTGGCTACGTAGTTTCGCGCACATGTGGCATACACACGTCGTCACACGGCGACATCGGAAGAAGCCGGAGCGGAAGGAGGAGGACGGAGGGTCGACGAAAGTCGGGAAGAAAATTCNCGGGAAGAAAATTCCCCCCCCCCCCGAAATTTTCGTTACGGAAAAAAGAGCGTATCGCGCGATCGGAGTGAAGAGCTTCGTGAGCTCCCTCGATGAGGATGGAACTTTCGAGGGAGAGAGAGAGAGAGAGAGAGCTCACGGAGAGAATTGATTAGTTCGTTCTTGATTAATCGTCATTCACGAAGGTTTCTCGTTTGGATCGGATTCTCTCCGGGTAAAAGTTTCGATCGCCGATCATTAGCGGCTCATTTACGAGCGTCTTGCTCCGTTCTCTCCGCAGCCACGAAGCACGGAGAAGGTAGTGACACTGTCGCACGTTAACACATTGTGTGCTCCGGCTCTGCCCACTATAACCGTCACGGTCGGTAGCCTTCTTGCATCTCGGTCGGAATCGTGTTAGCGCCGGGACGGCTGCTACAGCGGCGCACATTAATTAAGGCTCTAATTAGTGTAAAAATTAGATGCGCATATGTATGCAAGCACGTACGTGCGTGCGTACGTACGTATGCATGCATGTATGCACGCATGCCCGTCCGTGTATGTATGCCGCTATTAATTAATACCGAGGCGAAGAAACAGGAATCGCGGAGAGATTCAGAGGCGTGCTATCGACGACCACCAACCACCTTCTTTCTCGTCGATCCGATAAAGAAACCCTCGCCGGGAGGTATATCCATCGGGCTCTGTAAAGCGAGTGGCATACAGAAAAATGTAAGCAACTGAGAGGAGAATATTCGATACTTGCGTAATACTATATTTACTTTTGTATATATAATATTTGTATATAATTATAATGATCGTAGTGAAAAAATCGTACTCAGAAGAACCATTTGTTTAGTAAGTGTTACTGTGATCACAGTGACCTTACATGCATGTTACTACTATTTACTTTGTGATTAAAACCATAAAAAGGGTATAGTTGAGGCGAAAGATGCCCGCAATTTCTCTCAGCGAAGCTGTGCAGCAAAGCTCGAGCAATGAGCGAATTTGTTAATTATATTCGGGAATTATCGAAGACGCGAGACTGTCGTGTGAAAATTCGCGACCACGACTGCTTCGCTGTTTTCGGTAATTACAGTGACCATGGATGACTTGATTGCACTTGAGTTTTACGTTTCTCCATATGCCATGGACTTAAAAAAAAAAGGAAAGCTACCGGGGACGTTCGTTCTTAGGAACGAACTTGAATTCCATTTTCGCAGCTTTTTAACAAAGTTAACGGGTCGATCGTTTTCTCTAAGTGCACGTTCGATTGCGTTTATTTTTTCGAGGTGTTACCGAGAGAGAAAGAGAGAGAAAGAGAGAGAGAGAGAGGGGGGGGAGGGGGGAGCACGCGATATCGCTCGGCCGGTATACTTCGATACCGCGTGCTTTCTCACGCCGTTCGGGCGTTCTCCGTGGCGAAGAAAGTTTAAGCCGCCGGGGAAAAGAAGCGAGGAGAGGCCTCTACCTACCACCACCGTACAGAGGCCGCGCCGCGTTCACCTATACTCTTCCCAGCCGAAGGTCCGGGGCAGAGGACCGAAGATATATCACGTTGTCGGCCGACATACCATTCTTTTGCGGCGCGGCGCGCGGCCGACACCGCGCGCGGCAGCAGCATTCACAAATTAAGGAGCGCCAAAGTCCACGGCGCGGCGTAGGTATGGCGCTATCGCGCTTCATAAAACTTCGTTAGCACGCTGGGAAAGTAGACGTCCGCCGGCGAGCCCCGGGTCCCCGCGGGTATACCCACATAAGCGCTGATGGCCCCGCGAGACCACCGTAAAAATTCATTTTGCGCCTCGGCGTGTAATTCAAGCCGGATTCTTGCATCTTCACCACCGCGGCGTATTAGACGGGTCCGTGTCCGCGCACTTCGCAGTTAATGACTCCGCTCGGCTCGGCCCGCTATGCGCGGTACGTTTAATAATTGTACAGCGCGACCGCGCCGCACACCGCGCGCACCTCCATTACTCGCTCCCGTGTGCATAAATACCGCGCACCGCTCGTCAATATTTTCCGTAATATCCACGGAGAACGCGCTCACGACTCCGCTGCCGCTCAGCTTGTGCGAAGAACGGCCAGATTCGAGCAGCGGGCGAATCGCCGTATTTGAGAATGATCGGGAAATGATCAGTTACTCTATCGTGTCGAAATTCTCCACTGTGTGATTCATCGGTTTACTCGGTGCTTGACACTTTCACGGCCGCTGTCACGTATACGTGACTTCGATCCGCTCGAGGCGGTTGTCGCCTTGTAACGTTTGTCGATAACAATGATCTTCAAATTACCGGGGCTGTATAAAGGCAAATTTATCAATTTATGTACAACGGGAGGGTCTCTTTAATTCGTCTCTCGTCACGGTCAGAGCGAGCTCTCGGCAGGTGGGATTCCTCCGCGATAACAGTAGCCGAGCGTAAAGTCATCCCGCGACTCTAATTGAGGGTAGAGCACCGGGGTGGGTTTTAAGATTCGCACTCCCGCCCCGAGGTTTTCAATAGCATTAACAACGATCGATCGTTTCCTCCAGGTGCGGCATCGGCAATTCGATCCCGGCCTGCTGATCGATCGATCCTCGTGTCTCGTATCTCCTTGTCTTCCTCCCCGCCTCTCCTCCCCGCTGCAGACCGACGTTATTAGCGCGCACGTGGCGACGCGGTATCACGAGAGAGCGTCGTGTACTCGTCGTCTGATGCGTCGTCCGTTAATTTGCCGCGGAGACCGTGCATATAAAATGAGAGCGAGGGGGGGGGGNNNGGGGGGGGGGGGGAGTCCGCGCGCAAGGTGTACCCACGCCCTCGTAGTACAGGGACGAGAGGCCACGTGTGGTGGCAACGCGCGCGATCCGTCTCACGTACACGCTCGCTCGCACGTGGTTCCAGTCATTAGGTATACGTAGCCTCGTTAGAATGAGCTTTTTTCCCCCGTCCGCTAATGAGGTGGTCCGCGACTTGCAGTCGGCTGTCAGGGCGGGAGAGGGTGAGAAGGGTCCAGCTAGCTGGCTGGCGGCTTCGGGTCGCGAGAGGGCAGCTTCTGTGACGCCCTGCGCGAATCTCTCGCCGGAGATTTCCTTTCTTTCTCTCTTTCTTTCCTCTCTCTCTCTCTTTCTCTCCCATTGCCGTCGACACTATTTTTAATCTACTCGCGGGACGCGGACTTGATGGAATTAAAACGCATGTCGCGCTACGAAAGCTTGCTTACCAACCCCGTCGACTCTACGCGAAAAACGCGTATGGGGTACCCTTTTAGGGTGCGACCCCTCGAATCGGAGAGAGAGAGAGGGGGGGAAGGGGAGAGAGAAAGAAGTGTATGTGTGTGTATGTGTGTGTGTCGCGTTAATAGTTGACGTCGCGCGGCGGTTCGGTGATTAATCTGGCCACGCTAATTCCGGCCCGCTCCGGCTAAGGGATCGCAGCCGGTCACAGTCGGGTTACGGTATGCGTTCGATAACGCGATGTATGCACGATGTGGGTAATTAAACGACGCTGTGATTAAGTAACCGCGAGATTCCTGCCGGTAATTATTAATCACAGGGCGTTGCGGAGAGAGAGAGATATCAGGAGTTTCCCCCCTTCCTTTTCTCTTTCCCGGGGGAAATAGTTCGCGTTCACTAGCGTGCGATTAATTATCACTCGATTATTTACGACTACATTAATTATTATTGGATTCGCAAGCCTCACCTCCGTCTCACCCGTCCGTGTCGCCCCACGTGTCTCGGATATCCTGGTTGTCTCGCCTGGGTCACCCTCGCCCAGGTTTCGTCGCTTTCACCCCCCGTCGTGAACTCGCCCCGCCGCTCTCGAAGATCCTTATTTCGGAAAATATCTGCGCGTCGGTTGTCTCCCTCTCTCGAGATCGAGCGAAGAATTTCACTCTCCTCGTCCTCCTCCGTCTTCTCCTTTAGCGCTCTTCTAAGTGGGAGTAATTCCATCTATTTGCTCTTTCCGGCTGTCCTCGAGCCGCCGACTCCTCCGGCCGTAATCGACTACCGCCTACGGGATCTTCCTCTCTCGAGTAACGCGGCGGGCGCGGCCGCGACGGTGGCCATTCATCCCGGTCGTAGCGGGTTGACACCCCGGCCGTTGCCGTCGCTTAATTCGCGAATATTTCACCGGCGCGTCACCCCGAAAATACGCTACAGCTGCTCGCGTCGTGTCTACAATCGGGCCACCTTCGGCACTCCGCCGAAAAATCCCGCCCGGGCGCATAAATCCCGGCGCTGATACATTTTTACTTATCACGCGCGCTGCCACCGCGCGCGCCCTCCGAGCCGCGCGGCCTCTCGCATAACTCTCGCGGTAATCCCCGTTGCGCGCGGCCGACGCGCGATTTAAACGAGCGACGAGCGAATTATCACCGCCGCCTTTCTTCGTGCCTGTTGCAGACGGCGTTGCACTGGGGCGCCAAACACGGCGACGAGAACATCGTTAAATTAATCGCGGGCACCTACAAGGACTACATCAAGAGTGTCAATGAGACCACGGTGAGTGCCCTTTCTCTCTCAGAGAATGTTGAATTAAGCTTATCACTCGAAGTCGATTATGTAGCTGGCCCGTCGGACCGTTTTCTTACGAATCCTATTGAATCTTAGCTGCGTGTCGATGGATGTATTATTTACGCTTCTGTAAAGTTAGAAAATAATCGACCGCTCGGAAATTGAGATATTGAGTGACTAAGGACGACACTTTTTGTATGTTATTCCTTGAAGTTAATACGTCCTGTTTTTCATTTTTTCTAAACCACATTGAAGATTTCGAAAAACTACTGCGATATATTAATCATTAATATAGAGACATGCAAAAGCTTTAGTATCATTGATCATTTTATTTTGAAAATATAGCCATAGGAAATTGACAATTTATAGTAATACTCGCGATATATATATTTAAATATTATACATATTTAAATATTTATATACTATTTTCTATTATTTTAATTATTAGTTTAACTAATGTATAAATAAAGCACATTAATAAGAAAAGTAAAAAATAAATGATATATCTCTTGTAATATTCGTCTTAATTTCGTGCCCAAAATTAACTTTTATTACTTAGATAGTTAAATCAAGTTATAGGAATAGGTATTTTCTTAAATAAATAATAACTTATGTAGGAGCACCTTAATATCGCCGCTGAAAATCCGGCACTCTACGGACCAATTACTTAAAATAAACTTGTGCCTGTCAAAAAATTCTGTTCGACTTTTCGGGTAATTTGATTTATATTGCATTTGATGGAGACAAATTATTCCGTCGATCAAAATATCTATGACTCCTCCCGTGTTTAATTTATATATTTTTGTCGTGAAAAATTCGTCGTTTTACCGTCGACGACGATGGCAGATCGAAACGAACGTTTTGGCTGATAAAACCTGAAGTCGAATCACATTTTTCGACGTATGAGTGATAAGTAATCTCTACACGTAGAATATTTGAACGATTCGTCATTCCTAATTGATTGCCTCTGTTTTGGCAAAGTTCCATCCCCTGTATTTTCTTTTTTCTGTTTCCGTGGGCCGCTTCCATCGGACGACGCAGAACGGGGTGAGTGTCCAATTATATTTTTCCTCTATCGAGAAACATATTTTGCCGACGGGCATTAAATTGCGATCGATCGAAAGGTCAACAGTGAATATTGAAATGAAATTCATACGTGAAAGTCTGCCGCTTTTTCGCTTAAACGAGCGTTAATCATCCCCCGCCGGCTCGTCCATCCTAGGCGAAGCGTATCAAATACATTCGGATAACAATCGGGAGCGTGTACTCGCGGTTGCCTTCACCGCGATCGCGGTATAATCTGCCGGACATACGGGAGAGCGGGGTCGGTTTAGGGGGCGAGTCGTTGTAAGAGGGAGAACAAACGGAGAGTCACACAGTCCGCGCGTAGCAGGAAGGAAGGCAGGAAGGAAAGGAGGGAGAAAGAGAGCGCGAGAGAGACGGGCAGAAAAGCCCGCAGATAGGATCGGATGTGTGTGGTCCCGCCGCTTTGCTCTTTATAAGACTTATATAAGCCGGGAGTGCTTCACGAGAGACGGCATGCGGGAGGCGAGCCCTCGGAGCGAGCGAGGGAGGAAGAGGGTAAACGGGGGATTCTTGCTCGTTAGCGGCTCGCGACAAACACCGTCGCGGGGCCCTCGCATTACGCCGGCCAGCAACAAAATCATTTTGACCACTTTCCCTCACAGACGTCGTATCGAATGTATCCGCACGGGGACAAAAATGAGTTTCAAATCAAGAATAAATATTATCTCATATATAAGCGAGAATATCGTAATCTTCTTGGCATACTCTTAGTCTTGATTTGATTGAATATATATTGATGCAAGTATCACTTGAGCTCAATTCAAGACTAAGAGTCTTCTAGGAAAATTATTCTTGCTTATACATGAGATTATCTATTCTTGATTTAAGACTAATTTTTGAGATTATCTATTCTTGATTTAAGACTCAGTTTTTTTTTCCCATGGGACCGCGTCTTGCGTGTGTTGAACTTCAATATGCGTTCTCTCGATCTTCCCGCGTTCCGTAGGGATTTTCCAGTGCGCGATATTCTACTCGTTAATTGATTTCAAAAATAATTTGAAATCATTCTTTTTAATAAAAATCATTTTTCGAAAATAAACCGATAAATTTCGCTAAATCGCCCGTCGCTTTATTGGCACAATTGATTTACATCGCAAATTGTTGCAGAGTAGCGCGCATTAAGATGCCTGCTTTTTGTGTCAAACGCTTTTAACGGGCGGATAAGGCGGGGACGACGGAGATTTTGCGGCAAATTAAAATATCCCCTGCTCAGATTTGCTACATTGTTCGCCGCATCGTCGGATGGAAATTGAATTCGAAGTACGCGTATTCCGAAAGCCGGTTCATTCGTCTTCCTGTAAAATAAGGCTTTCCCCGTAGCTCCTTCGTTTGGTAGACTCATTTGTTTCCACGGTGTAATCCGAACTCTGGCCCGTCGACACCTTCTCTCCTTCGCCTCCTCCGTTATACGTTCTTCGAGTTCGTTGCCGTCTCTTCAACCATCTATTAATACCAGAAATCACATTAAAAAAAAAAAATTGCAATTGCATCGACGATTATTGGAAAACGGACGGTTTGCGTGCGAGAAACGAAAGAAAAAAAGAGAGAGGACGGAGAGAGAAGTGAGGAAGATCGATGATCAGGAGGAGGAACGAAGAGAGAGATATCACAGAATAGATTTACACAATATAAAAGCTCCGATAAGGGGTGTCTTCGTAATAAGAAAAAAAAAAAACGTTACGCGCGCGTTCTATTTTTATATCCTCCCGGCTGACAATCCGCTCGGCTGACTCGATGTTGCTCGGGGATTAGCGCCGGATATAATGAATACGGTCGCGCTCGTGTACGTACCGATGTAGAGTAGGTAATCCACACCCGGACGAGGATCTGTCCTCGGCGGATCCTCGCTGCTTTTTTCCACTGGCGCGCGCGGCTTTAGAACCAGACTGCGGATCGCGCGGAGCGAAGCGACGGCGGTGGCGCGGCGTAATCTGTCACCGGCATCGCTCCCGCCGCGCTTTTCTACGGCTTATCCCGGACACCGGGCTTTCCCCCAATCCCGCGGCAAATGAAAGGACGTAGGGAACGAGGAGAAAAATAAAAAAAAACAAAAAGGAGAGAAAAAACGCGCCATGATTATCTCCTCTCGGGGGGGG